TTAGTATATAACTAATANCATTAATAATAGTCCACTATATAGATAATAATTAAAGTAAAAAGAAAAGAAAANAAGAATATATATATATATATATATATATATATATATATATATATATGATCCAAAACATGCATCAGAAATGTGTGGAAACAAACCTAAGAACACCTCAGTTGCTGGTGAAAGGTCGAATTCTCCAAAAACAGAAAAAAAAAAAAAGAAATTTCAATAAATGATGCACATTTCTCTTTGAATTGGCCTGTATCTGAGCATCTGATCAGGGACCCTAATACCCGGTTAAACTTGCAAAAGAAAAAACAGGAGACGACAATTATACAGCATAGACCCAAAGAAAAAACAGAGCACATGTAAAAGATTGCAGGGGCACTTAGAAACATCGCCAGAATATAATCAATTAATCATATTTGACAGAATTTATTAAAAAAAAAGAAAAAAAGAAAGAAGAAAACCAATTTTGAAAAGTACACGTTGCCATGAAAAAACCAAGAAACCAGCCAGAAATTTACGTAGAAACAAACCCACAAGATCAAATAAAGAACCAGAGAATTCTTTGCGTTATAATCAAGCAAAACCAAGAACGCAATAACCCAAATGAACCCAGCTCTCTGCCGAAGAGGGGGGCACTCAAAATTGCGCAGTTGCATCAGATACTCACCATTAGAGGTTTTTTTCATGGAATTCATATCGATCCTTGACAGAGGCTGCCTCCTTAACAGAAGAAAAAGAAAAAAAAGAAGAAGAAGAAGAAGAAAAAGGAGCAGAGTTTTTGTAGTTAATGTTGTTGGTGTTATTGTTAGGGAGTTGAAGGCAGGTGCCAGAAATGCAGGGTTGGAAATGGAAAGTAAAAGCCACCATTTTCGTATATTAATTATGGGTAATTTATACGGTTCAGGAACTTTAATTTAAAAAATTTATTAAATGGAGGCAACCCCTAAACGGGTGGAATCGGATAGCAGAACGTTTGACGGCTTCTTCCCACAACCTGGGTTTTTGGTGTTCTTTCCCAAGGAAGAGGAAAGTGACCAATTTTGGTGGACGGAGTTTGAGGGAGAGATAGAGGACTTGTAGTGAGAGAAAGTAGGGGTGGCAATGGATCCGGATCCGACCAAGGGCCTACCGGGTATAATCGACATGGGTTGTGCGACGTGGGGTCCGAGTCTTGCTCCAGCGGATCTGACCCGGATTCCGATGGAAATAACATACTTTACTTTAAGCATCTTCACGTGAATGAAGCACAAGGCTCTGTTTTGAGCTAAGACGCAAGCCTCAAACCCCAAACAAAAGATAGAGGGGAAATGGGGTGATCATCTCTGAGGGCAAATCTGCCATTTGTAAAATAAAAGAACTGTCATTTCTCCTTGTGAATATGGTGAAGTCTTTGTCGAAGCACATGCAACAAATGTTTGCCCATAACTAACTTGGATTGGCAAAACTTTTTGCAACTCCCTCCAGTTCAAATCTTTTGGGTTTTGGAGCTAGAATTTTTATTGGCCATTAATCTCGATCACAACTACGACCATAAATTGCAAAAAATAAGAATTTAATTATTAAATGGACACAGTTTCTATGAGTCCATGTAGAAATGAGTCGACTCTTAAATATCTATTTTTGTGATGGTTTTTCGGATCCAATTTTGAGGACATGTAATCTCTAACATGGAAATTTTGAATATAAAGAAATAAATAAATTTTAAGAAATAAAAATAATAATTTTACGAAAAAAACATTTGGACCGTTAGTTTCAATTGTTATAGATGAAAAAAAATACATTGGGACCGCTTATTGTAGAAATGCACTCCAGCCCGCATGAAACAATTTTCCACATTAAAATAGATTATAAATTTGATTATTGTGAAATATTTAAAGAAAAAAGTTCATATAAGGGTAAGGCATTAAATAATCAAATTAAGTCTCAAACATTCACTAGAAGATATTGTTACGATGTTAAAATATCCTCATATCGATCATCTTGACCTCAAGATGTCTGGACATGATAAAAAAATTATTTCAAGTATTAGAAATAATGCATATTGTAATACAGTTTTAGAACGATTTTCCAGATTTTCAAGTGTTCATAGGTTTGTTTGATCTACACTCTTTTTGAAGCTTTAAAATTTATAATTAATTATAAATATAAAATTTCATACCATCACAAAGACATCAACTACTAAAACAACATCTTTCGACACTATTTGAAAGTAGGCCTTACTTTGATTGTTTAGATTAGACAATCCACACCCATATTTAAATAAATGATTTATTAAAAATAAAAATAAAGTTGAAAAATATTTATTTTTAACTTTTGAAATTATTTTTATATTCATTATCGTCATAGTTTAGGTTATCAACCACTTAAATTTTAAATCTAAAATTATCTTTAAAATAAATTTTAGAAGGATATCATTGTTGAACAAAGTGATTTGGCTAATGCATCAAAATCCCATCCAGAATAATAAAATGGGTAAATAATTTAACGATATCTCCATGAATGTAATGAAGTATTTCTTGTGGCTTTTGGTAGCCACATTCATAGGTCTGCAATACCACTATGAATAATTTAAAGTACGCTAGAAGCTCTTTGTGCCCCCGTGGAATTTTTCCTTACTAATTTTCTTTACACACCCGACTCACATACGTTTGATAAGCTGACTTTATAATTTTGTAGGATCCCATCTTTTGTTAATCATTCCATTCTTTTAAATCCTATGTGCCCTAGTTGCATATGCTATCAGAAAGCATCGACATCATTCAAAGGCGAAACTTAAGCAACTACCTATTTTATTTCAACCGAATAGAGACCATTTACAAGAAGACCGATCATAACAATCTCATCGCGGTTTTTCACAATCACCTTATTTCTAGAGAATGTGGTGATAAACCCCGCTTTAGCCATCATTGGGAACTTAGAGTGCTTATTTTAGGACCAACGCTTTATCATTCTTTATTTCAAGAGCAAAATCACCAAAACCCAGAACATCGGTCTTTTGATATATGTGTTGGTCACCCTGCCCCACGGTTCTAAAAGTGCGGAAGCCATCCTTGGTGATTGACATGTGAGTCATAGATCCTGAGTTAAGATACCAAGACATGCCCTTAGGGTCGGCTAGCAGTGTCTCAAATACTATAAACACAACTTCTCTATTTGCCTGGGGGTTCTTATTGAATCTACAGTCCTTGGATAGTGGCCCACCCTCTTACATATGTAGCAAGATCTAGTTTTTCTCTTTTGAACTTATTTTCTCTCTCTCTCTCTCTTTTCTTTTCCTCTCCCCTCTTTTTATGTTTTATTTTATCTTCCCTTTGTTAGGTTTAAAGTAGGGTTGAGAGTTTACCATGTGCACCACATCTCTTCGTGCTAGTGCATTTCGAGCATTCCGCCTTTCTTCTTCGCCCTTGAGCAATGTGATGAGCTCATCTATCTGTTGGGCAATAAGGGATGAGATGAACACCTCCCAAGAAGCAGGGAGGGTGTTCAACATGTGAACCACTTGCATAAGTTCCAAAGGCCACATCTCGATCGCTTCCATCTCTCGAACAAGTGCCCTAAAAGTGTGCACATGTTCCGATATCTTTGTACCTTCGACCATTTTCAAATCGTTGTATTTCGTCATAGCCATTTAATTTCTCACTAGAGAAGAATCTGCATACTCCTTCTCGAGCCGTTCATGCATGCCTTTAGCAGTTCTTATTGGCTCATAATCAGATGTGAATGAGTCAGTCATGGAACAAAGCAAGATATGCCTATCATGCATATTTTTATGCTTCCATTTGATGTATGTATCTCTTGTAGCATGAGATGCAAAGCTTCGAAGATGAAAAGGACAATGCTCAGTAAGAATCTCATGCAAACCCGCCTCATATAGAACATAGTCACTTTTGTACTTCCATGGAGAGTAGTTTTTCCCATTGAACCTTTCGGTCTTTAGAATCTCAGAGATAAAACTGCATCCAGCAATTTTTCTTGTCGCAAAAAAAATAAATGACTCAAATAAAAGAAATAAAACTCCCTAAGAATAGTAAAAAAGCTTTGCTGGGATACTAATAGAAGTTGGATAGGGTGAACTAGCACGGTACATGTGGTTTTTTATTTTTCTTTTTTATACTGACTAGAACACTTACAAAGGTCTAAATACAATTAAATAAACTAAAAAAAAAAAAATTAATACAAAAGAGATTCTCACTTATTGCTACTAATAAAAATTCTTTTATTTAGTAAACAGAATTCACATAATACTCATGTGAATAAGAAAACATAATGTCACGACCTCGCCCCTGACCCCCTTGCTGTACTCGACGAAGGGTGACGAGGTGTGGGTTCGTGATCCACAGGTACAAATGCCACTGAAGTTGGAGTGCGCTCATCACTTTATTAACGCGGTAAACAAAGCAAACCATGGCAAAGAACTAAAAACAATGATTCAAAAGGCAGAAGAACATCAAGAAATAGAATTCCCATACACCAAAAATTCACTATGAAAATTCTTCCACAAATAGAATCATATACAGGGCTCAATTGATCATGCCATCTGAGATGTCAAGCTCATCACAATGCATTCATGTTCATACATTTCATCCTATCATTTTCCCCTATTTTCAACACATAAGACTGAAAACCATAAAGAATATTGCCAGAAGATTACATCAACTGTATTTTGCACACCTCACTCCGGGTCTCCTCCTCTAATGATACATGAGATCAATGTTCCATCTCAGATCTTTAAAGCATGAAAAACCATAGGCTACTACCTTTAATCAAATATGAGAGCAAGATGAAACCCTGCACAAGCTTAAGGCCTCAATGCCTTATGTGTGTGGGGCATTGCCCCCCTCTTAGCACTTAGCTTGGGGCGTGCCCCTTCTCTTACTAATATTTTCTAAGAGAAAGATAAGAGATCTTAGAGAGAGACCAGAGAGGTATAGAGATATGAGTCTCTATTTATAGATTTTCTGTTGGGTTAGAGTTTTTTAGGGTTAGCCATCTTTATAAAGATTAGATCTAGACTATTGACCATAAGAGACATGTGGGGTAAGAGGTCTGAGTCATACAATCTTTAGATTATCTATCATAATTCAAAAAAAAGTGTTAGAACTTTGTCCTTCAGCTTTCTTTAACCTAATCCTATCAAATAATAAAAATATGAAAAATATATTTCATATAGATCTTATTTTCATGTACTTCTTACACATTCTTAAACTTGAAAATTGGAACTCTTAATTTCCAAACTTGATTGAGTGCCTCATGATAAAATAGGAAAATATACAAAGGGAGGGCATGCCTCTTATGGGGCCCCTATGTGGGTCCCACACACTCCCCACAACTACAATAATGGTGGACCCCATAGTTCATGTTGGCCCCCATATATATTATAAGAGTAATGATCCTATAGAACCCTCTCCTACCCACGTGTGTAGGACTCCAAATGATCATCATTAAAGTTGGCACTGATCTCTAGAAAAGTTATCACATGGGTGACTTGACTTTTCTATAGATCTGTGCCAAATTAATGGTGATCCTTTGGGGTCCTGCACACATAGGTACGGGAGGGTCCTATAGGATCATTGATCATATTATAATTTATAATAGTTATAAAATGATTTTTAGAAAATAATAAAGAATTTATTTTTTCTTAATAATTAAAATACTAAAAATTCAATTTCTCCTTATTTATAAATCTATTTTGAAAAATAAAATATCTAAAGACTTCTAAAAATTCAAAAGATAAATATAAAAATCATTTAACACTATAATTAATTATAAATAATTTTGATGGGATTCGGATCCAATTATATTAAAGTATTATGAATTTGATGAAGCACTTCATCTTCTACCATGGACTATAATCCACACTCATAGTCTCAAACTGACCCAGCAGTTCCCATGACCCACAGACTATCGCAAGGGTTCATGATTGGGCTACCAAAGTAAGCAAATAGGTGAGGAGACACAATCCCAGTCTATGAATTACAAGTTCTTTCCTAGAGACAAGTCAAAAGTCATGCAACCATAAGGCTATGGTGCATATGGGCTATTTCTTGCACATGGACACATATCACCCTCACTGGTGATTATATTTCCCAAC